GAGGCTTCCCAAAATGATGGCTAGGCCCCGCAGCAACTGGCGGTTGAGATCCATGAATAGGCTGGTTAGGTACCGGTCGCATCTGCCCGTGTGCTTGCCCCGACTGCTGAATTGGTGGAAGGCGTGCATGCTGTGGGTGTTGCAACTTCTGTCGCTTTGCAGTTTCTTCATGTTGCCGTTGCTGTTGGCGCTTCTTCTTTGTCTGGAACTCATGTGATGATTCATACTTGGGTAAACTGGATATGAAGAAAGTATTTAGATATGCATTGAAGATTAAACGGGAATTACGTAACATCAAATACAGAAGTCAAATAAATAATACTTACCTTTTAGGATCACAAGGTAATGGATCCGTCCAAAAATACTCCGCATCTAGCGCATCCTTGGCAGATATCCTCTATGTATATGATGAAACAGAGGCATGAGAGTCAAATGCAGATTAAGAAATCCAGAATATGGATTAAGTAACAACACATACGAGGCTATATTTGAATCACCGGTTCCCAACCCCCCCAAAATGAAACATAATGGGCAAAATCATATTGAGCTAAAGACAGTCAATATATGGAGAAAAAGATAAAGAACAGATACATCAATCAAACAGATACCTGAGAAGGATCGAGCGTTAGCATCTTCTCCAACAGTTCTAAAGCATGACGATCAAAACTACAAACGGCAAAATATCGAAGCCATAAACAAAACTATTAGGTTGACGCACTACAAACTGCAATGCACTGCAAAGATACAGCACTTCTGAACTTACTGCCTGAAAACTTCTCTTATACGTCTCTTCATCGGCCTTGTGGGCTTGAAATTGTTGTACCAAGGGATTTTAGAAACCCCAGGCCAATTAACTTCATCCGGAGCACCGCATAGCTCAAAGATCTTATTTAACTGCTCCGGCTACAATAAATAACAAAAAGTCCTATGAGAAAGAATGCCTGTTCAAACAAACTCATACAAACTTTGACAATACAAGGTTTTCAACTCTAATGTTTTTTTTTTTTGAGCGGTTGAGACACATTATACTTCTACGTGCATTGATAAAGAAGTTACCCGAAGTTTTTTCACCCATTTGAATGAAGCATTGTTTACCTGTTTTGATTCTCCATTCCAAGAAGATAGATGACAAAAAAATTAACTTAGCCAGTCCTGTATATCCTTTTATGCACAAAATTTTTCACATTCTTATGTTTTTTTGACAGACATGTTCAATCATATCCTTTCTTTACTTTAAGCATAAAGATTCCACGGGAAAGCCCTTACCTCATCCTTGCCGGGGAATATTGGCTTCCCATGTAGAAGCTCTGCAAATATACAACCAACGGACCACATGTCGACTGCTGGACCATATTTTGTTGACCCAAGCAGCAATTCAGGAGGTCTGTAAATCAATGATAATCAAAACTAAGTGCATCCAAAATCCTTTTTATTTTCAGTTCGTACTTCTCAATTATTGAAAGGAGAAACTATATACAGATTATGACAAGAGGAAGTTTTTTCAAATTAAATTCAAGCTTTTCTTGATAAAAAGAGCCAAATACCTGTACCATAAGGTAATTACACGATTGGTTAGATTTGCATTATGATCATTAGAAAATGATCGTGCAAGCCCAAAATCTGCAAGCTTCAGATTTCCTTCATTGTCAATAAGCAGATTTGAGCCTGAAGCACATAAATTGAAACAATAAACTAGGCTGCAAGAAAGAATCAGAAAGAAGGGATATTCATGAATGGTGGCTTTTTAATTACCTTTTATATCTCTATGCAGTACTTGATTTACATGACAATAATGAAGCCCTGTGAGAAGCTGCTTCATGTAGCACTGTCCAAAAAAGACACGCCCCAATAATTCTCATACACCAAAGGAGTTATTGAACAAGAAAAAGGACGCCTGCATCCTTTGTTAATACCTTAATTTGGGGAACTGAAAATCTCATCCCTGGACGATCAGCAAGACCCGTCAAATCGTGGTCCATGTACTCAAAAACCATGTAGATGCCACCTTTGTACTTGTTACCATCTGCAGATCCATGTAATAGCTATAGAATAAGAAATTCATGCTATACATTCTTTACTTCAATTTAAAAAGGAAGGTTTGGTGATGCAACTAAATTCTACAAAAATGAAAAGGACAGTTATGTAGCATTGAAGGCTAATGCTGCAAATTACAACAGAGAACATGCCTGGCTTCCCTTGTTCATCCTTCTCGGGACCTGAGAAAACACAACCGAATTTTATAAAACAAGAAAAACAAAGAAAAAAACCACATAGCATAGGTCACAACAAAAGTAATGAAATGTTAAAATGATACCTGGAGATGTCACAATCTCTTTCAACTTGATTACATTTTCATGATGGAGCTTCTTTAGAATTTTGATTTCTCGTATGGCAGTAATAGGAAACTACACGGACAAATGAATTGAGCGTTACGTCACAGAACACGCTTCTATCTTAAATGGGAGCATAACACTAACAGAATATTCTCCATGGCAGGTACTGTTACATTGTCTGTAAAAGAGCATCTTAAGGCTTCGACTTAAATGTGAGTGATCATACAAATTTTTAAACTTTCAAGTTGATAGCCAGCACTGGAAACTCTAGCATTCTCATATAATGGCAGGGGTAACTACAGTGCTTGCAAATAAACATAAACTACCCAAGTCAGTCAGGTGGTGAAAAAAAACAAGTGAATGAGAAGCATACCCCCTCTCTCTCATTATCCATTCGTATTTTCTTCAGTGCAACAATTTCACCTGTTTTTAACTCTCTGGCCATATAAACTTGCCTGTGCAAAAGGACATGGGTACAAATTAATACATACATCATCAGCAACTAAATTGATATATAAATAACAATGAGAAATAAACTATCATCAACCTGGAGCAGAAGAGTGATTAGAAATCTATGACACAAGGTGAGAGAAACTTCTCCTATTACCATGAACACTAAATTAGTCAGAAGCATGCATATAAATCATATCAAAGTGAGGAGCCCACCTTAGAGTAGATTGCTGCACGCCTAGAGCATAAGCTATGTCCAAAGTAGTAATGGAATTGGACATAAATAGGGGCTACGAGGACCATCATTACCCATGTTTTTTCAAATCCATGTGATTTCAGTTCATTAATGGGAACTTATTTAAATAGTTTCACCACGCTTTCAGTGCTCAATAAAGCAATGCAGTTTGGTGTTTGTTAAAAGATTCTTAATGTTTTCGTTAATGGCCATTATCTATCTTTCTGTGTCGTAACATTCTTTCACGGTATTCAATCTAAGAAATAGAGGTTAAAAAGACACCAGAATACATAAATGGAATGGTGTAACGGACTTCGGTTAAAATCTGCCGCAACAACTTTCCCAACATGCATTTTTCTCATATTCTTCGACTAGAAACATTAGTTCACAGAAAATACAATTAAAAATATTCACCCACACGAGGAAAGCAGACAATTTGACAAGGGACACTGAGAACAACAATTGCTACAAGCTTCAGTTTGGTTCTGTTTGAAATTGATAACTCAAATTCTGATACACGTGAATTCCCGATAAATTCCCATCCATGTAAGCTTAGAGGAGTATATGAGTAAATACATATAAAAAGAAAAGAAAAAGAAACGGCAAAACAGTATGTTATCGACTAATGAGGTCATAACACGAAAACAACCGCATGGAAAAATCCCCAAATCCAACAAGCAACAACTACCGCAGCAAATATTTAAAATAAGGCGGGAGAAGGGGGGAGGGTATAGGCACAAATAGCGAACCCATAAGTGCCTTCGCCAATCTGCTCCAATTTTTCAAAGCAGTCGACACTTCTAGATCCCCACGATGGGGACTCGTTAACGTTGAGCTGCCCTGGGGCTGTTACAGCCATGGTCTTCCCTTGCACGCGTGTTCTCCTTCCCCGGAAGACCCTAATGCGGGATCGAACAATCAGCCATTTGAATGTAACGTTAAAGCGTTGAAAATAAGCGATAACGCGAATCCTTTCAACTAGAAAGTTAAAGAGGGGACTTGGAACCAAAATTCAGGAAGAACAAAAAGAAATAGGAGAAATCACCTGGATTTGAAATTAGGGTTTGGAGTGAAGGGAGTAGCCGGAGAGGTGCAGATTAAAGGCGATTCGAAACAGTTTCGTACGCAGCAGAGATTGGATAATACAGAAGAGTGGGGAGAGTCGATATGCGTATATGGGTATGGCAGTCTTGGAACCGAAGATTCAAGGGTTTCAACTTTTAACGTCGATTTTTCTTCTTCTATAGTCTATGCTCGAAAAAACTAAAATAACTCTCTCGTCGAATAGATTATACTTTCTTTTTTAGTTCTACTTTTTAAGGGATTTTTTTTTTCTATACGAAATTCTAAAATAAAAAAAGGGATCTTTTTTTTTTCTTTTAAATTAAATTTTAAATAAGCTTATAAAATTCCCATGTGATAATCTTGAATTGTTTTACTAATATGGTTTAATTTTTAACTTATTTTACTCTTTGTATTGAAATATACTACCCGAGTTAATTTGAGCATAATTCAGGTTAAACTAAAAGAAAAATTATGCACTTCTGTGTTTGACTTTGAATTTACCTATTGTGAAAACTTCACGTTAAATGTGACAACTATTTATTTGAACCTAACATCATCAACCAAGTAAAAAGATTAAAGTTGTTGGCTCTTCTTTCTTCTAATATATTCTCAACTATGTGTAATAACGAAACTATCATCCTGATCATAATTTAAGGATTAATATTTTTTTTAGTTCAACCACAGCAGGGATAAAATATGGAACAATCAACTTTTAAGATGGTATAGGTGATGTATCTATTTGAACTATGCTATATAATTTATTTTTTTTATCCAACAGGATAAAAGTCCCCATCCCTGGTAAATGATTGGAAATTATCGATATCAATTGAAAAATTAACGATGTAAAGTTTGAACACAAGATCACATGCCACTATTACCCCATAATACGACTATTACCAAGCATTTACCAGGGAAAAAAAGGGACTCAAAATCAGTGGAGGGATCAGTCTAATTCCATGCTTTCATACTTTTCAAGAACAAAACAGTCTAGAAAACAGGTACATGTGGCAGCCCTGTACCGTCTCTAACAGAGGAACCGATTGACAAGCTTCTTCAACAGGACGGTTCATCCATTTTTTCAGTATGTCTTCAGCAACAAGCGCAAGCTGATGCTGCAACACAGCTGCACCCAAAGGTCCTACTAAATTCAGTCTTGTTGCAGCAGAAATAACATCTCTCATGGTAATAAACAGATAAGCCCTCTGCGACATTGCACTATCCCATCCAAGTAGCCCGCAAATAAGCCCGAATATGGGAGCATGGTGGAATGGAACAGCCCCAGTGCCTGAGAAGGTTTCTCTCATCGTTTTCAAAGATGGGATTTCGGAAAATACTACAGCTGCAACTCTCATGAGAGCTGACCCTTGCGTAATGGATGCCTTCCGACCAACTTCATTAGTCAACATTGCATCCAATAATCTGTCATTTTTCTGCCAAGTTTCTAAATCAGGAGATAGTGTTGCTGAGTGCACAAAGGGAAGAAGCAAACTTCCAGTGTTGTCCAACACATGGATCACAAACGTTTTGAGATCTTCTGGTTGTGAGACAATGCGAGCTTGTATTGCAGCCTCGAGACCAAATGAGTGGGCGAAGCCACCAGTAGGAAGAACGGAATCAAGCAGCTGCCATTGGTTCCACTGCAAATGCTTGCCATCCATGTTAAGTCTGGACTATTGTGTATCCTGCAAAACATAAATGTGAAAACACAACTGCATTAAAGATAGCTGTCAAGAAAAGGATCAAACAAGTTCAAGCTTTAAGTGGCTGGCTTATAATTCATCTGTCAAATGACAACTACACAACATGTTTACATTACACTCAGGACGGTTAATGGAGAGTTCTCAGATAATGAGCAAATAACGAGCAATCACATTTTTTGAAGGAACATATACACATACAAATGATTCACCAAGAAATGGGCACACCAATTAACTACTCTTCTCTCTTCTCAAGGTTACGGATCCAGAAAATGTCCAAACGCAAGAATCTCGGGAGTAACCACAATTAATCCAGCCAACCAAGCGTTTGCGCTTTGATTCGAACCAGCTGAAAATCAGAACAAACTCGAGTGTTGGGTACTCGAGAATCATTGGTTTGTTTCTTGTCAAGAGGGTCAAAATTGTAATGGAAACTACCAAAAATTTCATCTCGCCTAAACAAAAGAGAACGTTCAACAGTGCTCGTGGGACATCGGATAGCATGTGAAAAATGGGTGTTGGAATCACCAAAAATTCGCTTAAGAATCAAATGTCAATTACTCAATCACGCTCGTAGATATTGGAAGGAAACTCAATTGATGGCAATGAAAAATAAGTAAAAGTTGCAGTCGGGACTCAATAGTAGGGTGAAGTAATTCATACTAAAAACCCTAGGATAATTCAGATGCAAGCATGCCACTCCACTCCGCACTCTTCCACAAAAAGGAGAAAAAAAGAAATTGAACAGGAATGCGGAAACGGAACTGACTTCACCTTAATTGCAAAGAAAATTGAAATCCACCACTGCCATGAGACAACTTTCGAATGTCAAAACAAAGTCGACAGTCAAGAAGGGCGCCATGGGCGCCATGGTCGAAGGGGACCGACTGAATTCTGCATCTTTATACAGATGTGCGGTTTTATTTATTTTTTATTTTATATATTTTCTTTTTTTTTTTCTGGATGGGAACATAAAACAGAAACAAACAATCCGAAAAATAAAATTATAAAATACTACATCTAACGACGGTTTAAATATTCGATGGAAATATCAATGTTCAATTTCGTGAAAATATCGAGGGCTCAATTTCATGGAAATATCAATAAAAATATTGATAAAATATCAATGTCGATGGATATTTCTATAAAAGTTAGAAAAATAAAAAAATCGTAAAAAAATATTTAAATTAACAAATAAATATTTTTCTATTTCTAAACTAGTTAAAAATAATTAATATTAATATTATGTCTATATTAGTGACATGTTGTATATTTTGTCGATTTGCTTGTACTATAATAGAAATGTCGATGTCGAACCCATAGAAACATGAATATGTCGATAGAAATGTCAGCGTCGATATTTAAAACCATGGACCTAATTCTTGAGATTGTAGATTAAGAAAAAAAAACCAATAAAAAAAGAGCTTGGAACTCTTGAGATTGTAGTAATGGTCTCATCCAAGTTAATTTGACAACTTATTCGTCTATTCTAATTTTTACCTTCACGTATTGTAGTAGCATACTTTAAATTCGTTCCAATTTTTACCTTCATGTATTGTAGTATCAAACTTTAAATTTGTTCCATTAATAAATATTAATAATTCTAGAGGAAATTTAACCAAGAGCAGTAAAAAAAAAACTACAAAAACAGTGCATGGTACATTAAATTGAATTAAAAAGGTCAAAGTACACAAAATGTCCCTTAGCTTTTGTGCAAGTTTCAATAATAATTAATACCTTCAAACTTCTAAAAATTTCATTTTTTACTTTTTAACCTTCTAACACACTTTGTTATAAAACTACCATAATGCCAATGTTTCTGGAAAAGATAACGTGGTAGTGACTTGTAAAATAGTGAAATGCATGACAAAGTTTTCAAATTTTATTTACGTCCTTAAACTTTAGTATATGTTCTAGTAATACCCTTATCATTTAAAAAATTTAATTTTAATCTTGAACCATTAAAATTGATTTATGATTTGATCACGTTTAAAACAACATTATATAGTTTGATGGCATAGGAGAAAATTTGGAGATTAGAGTACAATATTATTTATATTATTCTTATGATCAAAAGATGAGGGAAAATATATATATTTTTTTATGTGCAGACAAATAGACTATGAACGATAGTCAAAATTGTGAACATGAATATAATTTAATTAATTAAAATATGTATCACGGATCAAAATATCGTAGGTTTAAATTTCTACCACGTGTTATTGTAGTAAACAGAAGGACGGCAAAATTTTGGGAATAATAATGTATTTTACTATTTAATAATGTAATATTTCGAGACAGACAAAATATGACATTATTAATGTAATTTTTACATCTTCTGTTCACGAGAAGAGGAATCAATATTTGACTTTATATCCCAAAATTTTGTTCCCCTACCCACAAACCATACAACTTTATTTCAAATGCATTGAAGACTTATTTTTTCTCAAAAAAAAAAAAAATGCAACGAAGATTCTTTGATTTTGTTTTCATGAAATTATAAATTCATCTCCATTTCAAAGGGGGAAGCTAATGAAATTGTTTATTTTTTCCTAATACATCTCAATGATAGAGGATTAAAATGAAGTTTTTTTTATCGAACTCACAATTTATTAATTGGAGATATATGTCAATTACCGTTGAATTATACTTCTTTTAAGGATAAAAATATAATTAAAATATATCATACTGCATAAACAAAATTTACAATAGTCCCACTATTTTTACCTTTCCTTAAAATCAATGAAACATTAATTACTCAATTTTTTGGAAAGAACATTAATTACTATTTGTCTAAAATTACCCAATATTATATTATTAACACGGAGGTTAATTATCTAAAAATCGAAATCACGAGTCATTTTGAAAAGTAACCCTGTAAAAGTTCCATTCCGAAACCAAAAACTTCACAGAATAATATTTATCGTTAAATGGCAATCTTTCCCGCCTTTTGAAAGCGGCTCTCGTTCGCGGAACTTCACTGCCGGGTAAGTCTCAGAAATCTCTTCGTGTACAAACTCTTCTCTTCTGTGTTTTGGTTGAAATTTCTGTACAGAATCAACAATGTCTGAATTTTTCAAGTATTAGTTGACCCTGAATTAGGGTTCAAAATGCGAGAGCTGAGTTGGAGACATCATACTCTCATTCAAGCGCTACTCGCACGCGGCCCACTAAGAGAGGATCAGTTTCATTTGATGTTTACGCGCATCACTGGAAAGAGCCCAGGTTTGAAATTATTTATACTTTCCCCGTTTGATATCCAAGTTGGGAAGTAATGATTTAAGGGTACGGAGTCCTGCTCGATTTTGTCTAACAAACAATGCAGTGTGTTCTTAATATTTGCAATGTAATGGTTTCTAAATCTTATGTTAATGAACCTCATACTGGAAGAAATTGCATCTGGGTTCATATCAGTGTACGTGTTCGGAATGGGCATCCCTTTCGGCGGTTGCTTCAGAGAGAATGTAATGTTTTGTTTTACTTTTTCCAAAGGTTATAATCTGTATTCTTATAGTCCGCATACACCTCCCTATCATCACGCCTTTCTCTTTCCCTAATCATTAGCATAATCGATTGTAAAAGAAGAATATTTTTAATTGATTGTTTATCAGGGATATAATGTACACATTTTTTTGGGATATCTGTGAGTGTTCGGATCAACTTGTGTGTACCTTGGCTATACACATACTAGCCCATGGATGGCACTCTCTACTGTTGCGTTTATGCATTTTACTGAAAACTTTTATTTCGATATTTGTTTTGGTGCAGATAATGACCAGCAGCTGTTTAATAATTACCTCCTGGCGATAAATAAAGCACTTTCTTTTGCTCAGTTTGAGTTGAGAGGCTGCAGAAACCAATATGACGGTCGTGTTTATTATGGCTTGGTCAATAATGTATCTGACGAGCAATCCAAACTGGGAACAAAATATTCAGTTCCACAGATTGCCTTCTACAAAGCCATTGTGAGGTTCTTCAGTCTTTTCTTTCTTTCTTTCTTTATTACCGTTCAACATCCGTAATATATAGATTAAGCTGTCACCATTGCCATTTTCACTGGATTAGTTATGAATGTATATGGATGACCTTCTCATCCTCTTCTTAGTTATACTAGAACAAATACAAGGAAATCTACCAATTAGCCAAAGAGTTGCAAAAAACTCCCTCTTGAATATCAAAAGAAGAATAGTTATAGAGCTATTAAGGAGAGTACATCATCTAGAAACCCATAGATAATTCTATCAGAAGTCTCATGTTGAATAGAGAAGGCTTTCTCAAAAGGTAACTGCTTCCTTTGGAACCAAATAGCCTTGAAGATTGTATCCACCAAGAGCCTCCAAAATATATTCATCTTATCAAAGAAACCATCTTGCGCTTGCACCTACATGAATATATTGTTGAAATATGTTATGGCTTTCTCATCTCTTATGATGTTTATATTGTAATCTCAAGTACTAATTGATTATTCTCATCGTTATTAGCCCATACTCGTTTATAAGTTGTAAAACATTCCCACTCAACAGACAGACTCACTCATCAGTTTAGGGCTTTGCCAATTCTCCCTAGAGCTCTGAGAGAAGTCTGAGTGAGCAGTGAGGACTATCTGCTTTGGAACTTTGATTGTTAGCTGCTTTGGGTTTAGTGGCTTTAACTGCTTAGGGTTCATGCTACATCATTTATTGAAATATAGAAAATGAGAAGTATTGGTGTTCTTTAATAATTTAGTGTTCATAATATATGAACTGAACCTTTTCTTTTGTTTTGTTGATGTTGTTGTAGTATTTCATATAAAAACTTTGGGTATGTCAGGTTGAAGCAATTGCACAAGATCCATCTGCTCAAGGAGGAATATCCAACATTGCTGCTCTTCATCTGCAGTTGGAAAATCAGGTTTCTCTCGTTTATCTTTGACCAATACGACCGTTTTTTCTAGCCCATTCTACTGAAGTGTGATGCTTGCATTCTTTTGAGCCCATTATTGTCAAAGTGAGCTGCATATTTAACGGAAATTGGAATCTCTGGTCTTTTGCGTTATAATTAATACTAATTCCAGTCACCACGTTATATAGTGTACTCTTGACAAGAACATTCTTCACAGTTGTCATGTTTATTGGGAGAAAATAATTTTTTGGAACGAGTTTGCGAGAGTATCGATTGATATTTAGATTATATCACTTGTAGAAGGTTACTAGTCATTGAAAAGTGACATCTTTATTCAGCACCTAGCTAGTTATAGAAACAATGATAAATTTCCGTCAAAATAGTCAAGGGGTGTGCAGACTGTCTTGGGCACTTATGGATATATGTATATATATACATATATATATAAGATATATATATACATATATATATAAGAATCCGTCGACAAATTTTTAGATATTGAGAATGGAGTGACAAGCGTTTTGTACATGCCTACATGGTAAAGGCCCGTATCTAATCAATCAAATTTGGATACTGGGAGCTGTAAGGCTGACAGTGGTCTAATGACTAAAGTATTTCTTGATACGTTTACTTCTTTGTGGCCTCTTCAACTTTGAGGTGAATGAAATTTGCTTTAGAGGCACTCCCGAGTTTTTCATTTTATTTTTAATATCATTTGTTAAATTTAAAACTAAGAGTCCAAGACCACTCTTAAATTCTACATCATTTGGTTGCAAGAGTTTTGCTTGCCACTATGGTGGGTAAGTTGAGAATTGACAGAAGTTTCCTGTTCCTTGTATTTGTATGCCGTTGTCTGCTTCTCCACATATTTAAGGATCCTATTGTATAATCTTCGCATGCATTATTTGATTATTACTGTTTTATTACTGCCAGCTGGGGGATATGGGGTCCCAGTCGTCTCAAGTCATCCCACCTGCTTTCAAGAATTTCTCAATATCTCTCAAGGAAAAAACAATTGCTGAGCTTGCACAGGATCAGTGGCTTAACTGCACTCCTGATGGTTTTGTAAATCTGGGTGTCAGATCGTTTCTTGATCTGCGAAGTTGGTTCCGCACTAATGATATACCTTCATGCGAAGTGTGCAACGAGGCTGGAGTGAAGGTTCTGTTCTTTCATTTTGTTTCTATTCTATAATTTACCCTAGTGAGCAGGCTCCTATACAGTCGATCATCATTTTATCTCAATTCTTTATGCTGCATTATTTTCCCCAGTCCCCACACTGATGGGAAAACCTGAACATTTGATGAAAAGGATTTTATGTTGGTCACGCAATTTGTTTGGATTTCAACATGATTTAAGCTCCATATATCTTTGCTTGATTTGTTATTCACAGGCAGAGTTGTGCGATAATGAAGGTTGCACTGTCCGTGTACATCAGTATTGCCTTAAGAAAATGTTATCCAATAAAAAGGTAACATGATGTGGCTGCCTTTTTAACCCACTGTTTAAAATTTTTAATCTACAAGTTCTCTTGTGCCTAACAGTTCTATATTTGACTATTATCAGAGTAAAAGGGCTTGCCCAGGTTGTGGCACTAAATGGCGATCTACAGTAACCAATATGGAGTCCAAGGAAGAAGAGGATGAGCCAGATAGGCGCACTCAAGGCCAGTCATCATCACAGAGAAGGAAGAAATCTAGATTGAACATAGACATGGATTCAGATTCAAATGGAGCCAGTGCTTCCCAACCTCCTCCAGAGACAAGGAGAGTAACGCGAAGTTCTGCCCGCCAGAGGTAGGTGATTTTGAGTGCCTTAAATTAGGAACGAGTTACTGTTTATTTTAATATAGTTTCAGGGATCATAGTCTAGGAGTTGTAAAGTGAGCAGCAACTGCAGTTTTTGATGTCCTGTGTCAAAATTATCACCCCATATAAATTTCTTTGAATGGGTTGCTTTTGAACTACTCGTACACAAGATCGGAATGTAAAGTGCATAACACAACGTAAGGCTAAAGAAAAAGTTCTTGTCCTCCATGCATGCAACTGCAAGAAACCAGCTGTTCCATTGTAAATATTTATCTTATTGCGGCATGGTTAGTTTGGTGGTTCTGAACACTAGCGGAATTGTTATTGTTTCTTCAAACAAAGAATTAATTAGAGCATAAATAGGTTCAATATCCTAGAAGTAAAGAGCCTCAACTGTTGCCTTTTTATTCAACAGTAACTGTGCTGTTCCATGGTGTCTGGATTATGCAAAGATATGCAATTCACTGCACAAAATTTGACTGTTCAAGAGAGCTACCATGTTTAGTTTTCACCCATCTTTGGCCATAGAATAAAACATTTTATGCCTAATTACAATCAAATGCTTCTATATTAAGCTTTGTCTAGATAATGAAAACAAAATAAAGCAATCTATCGAAGCCATAATAGCAAGGACATGAGAGAAAAGTGGTGCCTGTAAACTTTTGGTAATGGAATTGATGTTTTGTTTATGTAAATCATTATGTTTTATGATATGATGATATGATGTGGGTGGATGATTTGTTTTCTTTTCTTTTCTTATTTTTATTTTGCAAGGGATGCTTTTTCTTTCTTTTTTTGGGGGCAAAGGGATGCTTTGTTTTCCTAAGGGCAAAGGGCACAGCGCACAAGTGGGGTTCTTAGTTTGAGATTCTGTGGTTTGCTGTCATTTTTACAACCCTCTGTTTCTAACCTTTTTGCTTTTCTCTTAGAACAGAATCCAACCTAAAGTCTCAATTCAAAGAATATTTTATTGTGCTGTGAGTGTGACCACTCTTTATTATCTATTTCTGCATAACATTTTGTCATTCAGTATGAATTATATTATAGTATTGAACCGACTCCAACGTACATGATTATAAAATATGAATTCTTATTTTTTTAAAAGAATAAACTCCTTCTCATGTACTATATTCTCGATAAATTAAATTCACTATTTTTTGTTCAACAATAGACGAAGGTGCGGAGATTCAAACTAACTTCTTAGTACATATATCAATCAATTGAGTTATATTTAAATTGACAAATACGCTTATTATTATTAATTGCAATATTGCTTACTATAATATAATTCTTCAACATAACTATAATATAATTCTTCAACACACTCATAGTTTGGTGGGATTTAATAGTCTATATAAACACATCCTTCTAATTTTTTCTATTTCACTATTTTAATAGCTTCGTATTATCTAGTCCTAAAACTTAAAAAGGAAATCTATATAGTTATTTGACTCATATGACCAACAATTTAAAAGATGAAAAAAAGAAAGAAAATAATGTTCTGTTACTCCTCTCACTCGCAGTGTGATAGGCTATTTGCATGGGAAAAAAGCTCTATGATGAAAATAAATATTTGATAGAATGTGGAAACAGTCAACTTAATTATTTAGGAACTAAAAACATTTCTTTTAATATCTCGGACAAGATAGACACTAAACTCAACCTTTAAGATTAAAAAATGTAATGAAATAATATTTCATCGTATATTTGTTTCAACTATAACCTGGCGTTATTAAATTAGTTTAAAAAAGTAGGTGAATAATAAGAAGTTATTATTAAATTATTATAAGAAAAGAAAAAAGGTGAAGCGTGGATACGACGCGCCAATGGATCTGATCTGACAGAAAGGGTGGACGGCGGGGGGCTCCACTCTCCAGTCTCCAATTCCGGAATTTGTATGTCCGTTTTGCTTTTGCATGGACTCACTGACGCAGTCGCGGTTACTTCACATTCCTCATTGTTTTATTCTATTCTCTCAGTTTCACCCTCTCCTTTCTCTCTGTAAAAACTCCATACTTTCTCTCAATGGAATGATGATTCTACCATCTCCATGTGCCCCTTCTCTTCTCCTCTCTTCTCCACTACCAACTTTTCGATGCAAACTCTGGTTCTGGTATGCTCGCTACTCCTATTGCTGTTCCTAATTCTTTTCTTTTTACTTAAATTTGTTGCTTTTTTGGGTCCTTTATGATCCACCCTTTTTCCTTTTGTTTCGTGCAACTCGCGCTTTGTTTCTGATTTTTGGATCGGTTCTTGATTTTGTGTCATAATTGACGGTGCCGGCGAGCTTGGGTTTCTCGTGGTCCTCAATCTTATCCATTCGCCTGGTTCCTGTTGCCTTCTGGTTACTCTGGGTTCTTTCCTTTCTGTTTTAACTCGAAAATGGCTCGGTTGCCTAATACTAATACCCCCACTCTTTGAATTTGATCTATTATTGTGTAAATTATTTTGGTTCCCCTGGATTGAATGTTATGATTTGCGGAGTTACAACCTTCGCGTTCTGGGACGATTCTGTTTTTATTCTGGTGCCTCTCCCTTGAATCTTCCTGGTGATTCATCTCTTCCCTTGATGTTCTCCTTTTTAGGGCTCATATCTTTAGTTCGCTACTTTTTAGTCTTTACTGGCTCCCCTTTCCATTCAATTCTTTCTTCTTTTTCTCTCTCTCTTTTTCTTTTCTCCCTCCAATTCGTGCTTTCTATGCGAATTTGAGTCCGAGTTCTCCTGTATTCTATTTGATTCTCAATGCATGCAGTTCATGTTCTAGATGTTAGAGACTGCTTTCGTAATGTCTGAATTGAAGTCGGCGAGTATTCTTGCCCTCTTTTATGAACTCTGCTTGTTGTTTTGCTTTATTTCTTACTTTCTGCAAGGGGGGAATGGAAATTTCTTTAAGAAGGAAGCTCTTTTCTCCATCGTTTGTTCTCTCACTTGTCACCTCCATAGAACCACATGTATCTATAAAGTTAAGCACTTCTTTTCATTTCCATATGTTTGCCTTTGTGATTTAGTTGTTCTGTCCCCCGGGATTAAAAATTGTTATTGGTCAACAATGCTGCTTTTGTTACTTGAAAGTTTCAATTTAGAACTTTAATCTTAACTAATGATTTGTGTACACCCTACAATCTATTTTCCAGTGTTTTCCCGGGATATTTATTCTTTTGTATGTTTATCTCCTTTCCGAAATGATATCTGTACACGTTTTTTTATTTCACTTGCTACTTCTTACTCCAAGTTTTTGGTGTCTCCATTTCTTTCATGATTTTTAATTGTCTGATATTGGGCAAAGTATTTTGTCAGCTAAGAGAGTTTCTCTCATACTTTCTGTTATGAATACTTTGTTTGGGCATCAGTAGATTTGTCAATTAGTCATTTAGAAACTTCAAGATAGTTGAATTGGATTTCGTTTGTATTTTGTTTCTGAATTCAAAATTTGGAGTATTCTAATTGCTTTGAATAGTCTTTTTTTTTTGTTAGGGGATGTTGTTGATCGTTACTTCTCTTTGCTACACTTATTGTGGTTTCTTTGTCATCTTCTTCATCTGTTGATTTAATGTGGGGATGAATGAAAATTTCAAGAAATTGGCTGCTAATGTCAGTTACACATTTCAAGCAAATAATTTTAAAGATATTGCATCTTTATGCAGCTAAGTTTTATTTGCTGTTTGATGATTTCTTAGTATATCATTCCTAACTTTGATTTTCAGGATGAGTATGGAATCCAAGTTATGTGTTAAGAGGGATATCCAGCAGTAAGGTCTACGGACATGGGAGCCTCGAGTTCTAAAGTAGAGGAAGATAAGACCCTTCGACTTTGCCGTGAAAGGAAGAAGTTTGTTAAGCAAGCCCTTCATGGAAGATGCTCACTAGCTACAGCCCATGCTGAATACATTCAGTCATTAAGATGTACAGGGACTGCTCTCAAGATTTTTGTACAACCTGAACTTCCAGCAGAATCATCCTTGTACACTTCCACTAATGCAACTCCTGAGCCCCTTGCCCTTACTGAGAAGTCTGTATCCCAATTCTCATTTTCCTCTCCGTCCTTCTCACAACATGTGGACACTGTTGGTAATCTTTCTCCGTCACCTTCTCCTCCTCCTTCAAGTCGGTTTCAGGCAAATCATATGAAGTTCAGGGGTAGCTTTGCTAACAAGGTTGAAGAAAAATTGCCCTTACCTGTTATTGGGACTATAACCTCATCAGACATTCCACCAAATGCCGCACCTCAATCCTCTGAAAGACCCCAAAAACTATCATTTGAAGGCTCTTCTGTACCTCAGGAAGGAACTTGGGATTACTTTTTCCCTTCAAATGAACATGATTTTTCCTTTCAAGATGGTAATGGTATGAACGGAGGGTTTGAATTTGAAAATGCTGGTGATTTAGGATACTTAAAGGAAGAGGATGGAAATTCTGAACGTGGAGATAGAGAAGAGAAGGATTCTTTACATGGAGGGGAGGAATCTCAAAACTCTGAGGATGAGTTTGATGACGAACCTGCTTCAGAAACTCTGGTGCGAAGTTTTGAAAATTTTAACAGGGTACATGATGATACAGTTAATACCTCTCCTACTTTGCATACCATGAAAAGTGTAGCTTCGGAGCCTGAGTTAGTGAATCAGGAGAAGAACCACTCTCCTGGTTTGTCACCTTTAAGAACCACGTCTTCAGTAGTTCCATTTACAACTGGCTTTGGTAAAGCAACTGTAAAGAAAGACAGTGTTGAAAATACAGTTGTTCCGAAGGACTTCTTTTCAAGCATGAAAGAAATTGAAGAACTTTTTGTAAAAGCTTCTGAATCTGGTAAAGAAGTTCCAAGAATGCTTGAAGCAAATAAGTTGCATATACGTCCAATTTTTCCTGGGAAAGAAAGTAATTTCTTGCTCTCCCTCTACTTGTGTGTGTGTGTGTTACACTCAAAGGTTTGAGCTTAAGGTGAAGTTCTTAGATTTGGTTGTGATCCCTTAATTGATAATATGATCTATCTTGTACTAGAAAGGTATCGTTGGGGGTTTACCTATTGCCTAATGGGGTGATGGTGGTGCCTTGTGATTTTGTATGGTTCTTTCACTATTTCAAAGTTGCAGTTAAATTATTTGGAACAATTGTGTAATGAGCAGCCAGACGACCCATCTCTTGATGAAGGATTTGGATGTTCTAAAGTGTTATTCTATTAAATATCATGTTGAAACATCTTAACTAGATTGATTTCCCCTCCGCAGGCCAATCACTATCATCAACATTGTTGAGGTCCTGCTTTTCCTGTGGAGAGGACCCAACCGTGGTTCGTGAAGGTATAACCACCTTCTTGGTCTTCACAAATCATAAATTAAGCCGATTTATGAAATATCTAGCTCTTCAGTTGGATAACAAATAAACGGGCAGTGTTTAAGTCTTCAGTAGTTTACTTGTTGCATGTAAAAGCGGCTTTATTTTTCTATGTTCTTTTGTGCCATTGACTTGTATATGTTGAACCAACTCAGAGCGTACGACTAATTTCGGATCATGCTGGTCTAGTCCTTTCTATAATCATTTGGATGCAGTATGAACTCAGTTGACATATTTTATCAGCACATGTTACTGTATTAATAAGCTGTGACCCCATATGTAGTCGATATTCAACCTGTTACCAGGTAAGTATTCACTATGATAACTTCATTCATCATTTGTCTTTCTTTGTGTTATCTTAGAGCCGGTTCAAACTGCAACAAAGTACTTGACTTGGCATAGGACAGCATCGTCACGCTCGTCTTCTTCCAGGAATCCTTTGGGAGGAGGAAACTTGAAAGAGGATGTTGAGGACCACTCTAGCAACTTATTTGAGAATTTTTGCATGAACTCAGGCAGTCATGCTTCAACCTTGGATAGGCTATATGCATGGGAAAAAAAGCTCCATGATGAAGTTAAGGTACTGCCAAACTTTCTATTTTATTCAGCTTTAGATACCAGAAATTACTTGGCATGTCAAGGTAATTCCTTAAAATTGGTTTTGTTTTGTTAATTACAGGCTAGTGAGATGGTGAGGAAAGAGTATGACCTTAAGTGTAAAATGCTACGGCATTTAGAATCACAAGAAGCGAGTCTACCAAAAATTGATAAAACACGAGCCATTATCAAGGATCTACATTCCAGAATCAGAGTGGGAGTTCATAGAATAGATTCTATATCGAAGAAAATTGAAGAATTGCGGGACACGGAGCTCCAACCACAACTTGAGGAGTTGATTGAAGGGTGAGTTCCTTTTTGCTGCCACCATAGATTCATATTAGAATATACACTACAGAGTCAGCCTCTTGATTTTTCTTTTCATTTTTTTTTGTTCCTAATACACATTTCATTCATTTTTGGTAGTAATTAATCTATGCCGATATGTTTGAATGGGTGTTATCTTTTGGACAATGGTAGGTTAAGTCGGATGTGGGAAGTGATGTTCGAATGCCACAAGCTTCAGTTACAGATCATCAAAGCAGCGGCGTCCAACCATGGCAACATGAAAATCTCGATGCAGTCGGAAACTAGGAGGCACAATACCATTTATCTCGCAACAGAACTCACATCCCTATCATCGAGTTTTATGAAGTGGATCTCAGCACAGAAGTCATATCTGCAAGCTATCGATGGGTGGCTTCTGAAATGTGTGTCTCTACCTCAAAAATCATCCAGGGGAAAAAGGAAAGTTCAAACCCCATCAATCAGAACTTATGGACCTCCACCTATATACGTTACGTGTGGTTCTTGGTTGGAGAAGATTAATGGTTTACCTACCAAGGAGGTCGTCGATTCGATAAAGGACTTGGCAGCTGAAACCACCCGCTTTCTGCCACATCAAGAGAAAAACCAGGGTAAGGAGAAGGGAAAAGGAAAAGGAAAAGGCACGAAGCTTTCGATCTTGACATCCTTCAAGGCTGACAATGAGAACGAGTCTTTGTTAAAGGACGAAGAACCGGAGGGTTTTGATCATTTTAGACCGAGCTTGGTTAAGTTCTTTGAAAAATTGAATGAGTTTTCAGAGTGTTCAGTGAAAATGTATGCAGAACTTGGTGAGACCATCCAAACTGAGAAAAATAATTACGATCCGTGGAAATCCCAGAAACTGGGAAAGCAGTCGGTATGAGAAAAGATGATATTGTTCCAACTTCCACGTGTTTTGTTTATGAGAATTGGAGATGTGTGAAGCTTTAGAGATGAGTCATTGAGGGACACAGGATTTGTATATGAAGAAGAACATAATAAAGGAAATTGAATGGTAAATTGTTCCTTTTTTTTTCCTTCCTGAAATTGAAGCAGAAAATAAAGGAGGAGCTGATGCAAGCAGCATATATACATCAAAATAGAGTCAATTTGCAGAGATACATAGCATTGTATAGTTCTCTGTACACCCTATGAACGTAAACTTCAATAAATTGTAACCATTACTTTATTTTATAATTTGATTCCTGGTCTTTGCCATAGATGAGACGTGGAGCATAGGATTTTTTTAATTAGTTTATACAACTATATATAATTTTTATTTAATGAATATTTAATTATTTTCAATCATGAGTGAGGACATTTATTATATAAATAGTAGTGGTCTGTAGTTCTTTCATGTTGTTGTTGCATTGAAAAGTTCTCCTCGTTTCTTGTCCGCACGTAGATAGCACGTGGAGGCTAAGATGGCATCTAAGCTACGGATAATATATAGATAATATATTTTTTTTTAGGGAAGTGGTTAGATAACATATATTTGTTCAAATAACTTAAAACAATGACTGATAAAAAATTTAGTTGTATTTACTGCTTTCAATGTTTAGGAATAAATTGAATTTCAATTCTCAATTTAAAAATAGTTTCAGATGTGTTTTAGTAATATTATTCAATTTATAATGTATTATATTCTACATATTTTAATTTTAATATAAATGAAATGCAAGGTTTTTATATTTTTTGAATGTAATTTCATATCTTTAAATTTTCAAATTTAAAATTTATAACACTGAAAATATCTGCATTTTCATAATTTCAACTAGTTAGCAAAATTAGAAACAATTCTAAAATATAAGTCCGTCAACGAGACAGATATTTACTAATACTTTAATTAAGTAATAA